GCATTATATGGATATCGCAGTTGGGGCACAAAAGAATGGGTTTTTTAATACTATGTACAACATCAGTATGTATGTGTAACATAGTTACACATCATTAGTTTTGTAAACGTTTAAAGCTCATATGTTCTAGGCTAAAAAAAGTCAGTTGCCTCTAATCTAAGGCATCCACAACTTGCTAGTTGCTAAAACATTTGTTGTGCAATATTTCTGAATATGCTATCTAATAAAGTTTTGAAAGGGATCAATTATACAATTAGACAACATACAACCCACAAATGAAAAGAACAGAACAGCTCTACACTGCTTTAAAAGAGGGCCAGGCAACTTGAAGTGCCTTTTTTCTGGTGCCCAAAAGTTTACCATTTTCTGAATCATTAAATTTTCCATAGTTTTGTGGTGGTGGGAAACAAAACATTAAGTGTATGAATGTCAAAACTCATACTATCATACTCCCCCAATTAGTTGGGAATGTAATTCCCAGAACTTCCACTTCTACAACTGGGGCATCATACTAGAAAAGCTTTGTTAAAATATTCTTCATGCAATTATGAAAGTGATCGAAAGGGAAATAGCCAGGTGGAGAATGGTAGCAAGTTCAGCTTTCTGAAATATCGTGCTGGATTATATCAGGAACTACAATATAGTGGTTTAGTGTATTTATTAACTCCAACTATGTGGTTTGGAAACTGTAGCCTATGAGCTAGATTTACTTATAGATCAGGCGATTTTAGCTAATTCCATAAACCAAAACTAAACAATGACTTGGAACAATGTGCAAACCAAGCCAAGTAGCAATTTAATGCAAAAAAAAATCATTTCTCTGTGTGAGATATTAGAAATTATCTTACTTATACTTCCTGACAATAACGCATGCTTTATGAAGCATGCTTTATCAACATTTCTCTCTGCCAATTCTCTACACTCTGGCTTTTAGGGAAGGGGGAGACAGGGAAGAAGAGCCTCTATAGAGTTATAATGCTTCAGCAAATCAGAAGTCACAGAAAAAGCAGCTATTCTTAATCCCGTCCAGTTTGCCGAATAAAATAGGATATCGTATGGAGTTTGCTCTTGCAATTCCAGTACCCAAGAGCAGAATATGACATTGTAACAATATACCTATAGCTGAGGTTTCCAATGTGATGCCAGGGAGAACAATGGACCCATTATGATGTTTTTACATTTTAAAAATACTTTTTATTTAGAAGAGAGAGAAAAGGCAGCAAGCTGCAACGTATAATGTTGGGTTCTACCATCATTTATTGCCTAGTCACAAGTTCTACTTTATATTATATCGCAGAAATATTTGTGAAGCACTGTTATGTAAGTGCTTGGGAGAAGGAAGGAAAATATAGGTAGTCCTTGATTTACAATAGCAATCAAGACTAGCATTTCTGGGCTATGCAATGTGATCATAAAGTGCAACAGCATCACTTAGGGATGACAATCTCTGCCATCCTGGTTGCCACCATGAACTGAATCTCAGAATCATTCAGCGGGGAAACTTCCAACTATCTTATCACAACTAAATCAATGGGAAACCTGCAGGAAGTTGCAAAGTCCCAAGCTGCTTGCAAGCAGCACAGCAGGCAGGTCAATGGCTGCTGTAAAGTGAGGAAGGTTTGTGTGAAATTGCAAGAGTGGTTCATTGAAATACTGGGAGGTTGTATGTAAGTGCATAAGTAGCAGAGGAGACACATCAAGGCCCAGGAAGATAGATGGGAGTGCATGAGTGACCAGTGCAATATGAGTGAGGAGGGGCAGTGAAAGGGTATGTGGGTAGGGGAGACTTACCCTAATGACCTTCCCTGCTGGCTTTTCCACCAACTTTCAAGAGAAGACAGCAGAGAAGGCAGTGAATAGTAATCAGGGGATTGCAAGGCCCCATAACTGGTCATAAGTGCAAGCCAGTTGCCAAACACACAGAATCATAATCTTGTGACCGGGAATTCTAGAATGGCCGAAACTCTGAGGACTGATTATAATCATCATTCATTTAGCACTGTCATAACTTCCAATGATTGCTGAATGAACAGTCTTAAGTTAAAAACTACCCGTATGATACCATTTTTGAGAAAAAACATTCAGTTTGGGTAGGGATTAAATTAAGCAATAGAAAAAACTCTTCCCATAGAGTACAAGCAAGAAATGTAGGTGGTAAACTGGTCTGAAGAGTAAATATGGAAATTCAAGTTTTCATATACTTACAAGACATAATTATAGAAATATTTGAGAGGGCATAGTATTTGGAAACAGTATACTAGAACTAAGGAAACTTATCTTGTTCATTCAAAGTAAGTTTTTACATACATACTCATTAAATGCCAAGCATCAAAATGTAACAAATATCTACAAAATGTAACAAATGAAATTTTCCAAAAATCCCATCTACAACTGCCTGGATGTAATTTGTTACATGGAAAATTAACTTTCAATTCTATTGCAAGTCTTCACTAAAAACTACTTTGTACCTGGTGGAGATACTCCTCTTATTTCAAAGGTAACCTGACAAGGTGCCATCTTCAATTATTTTCAAAGAGTAATCTGTTGAAAAAGAGAGGAAACCATCATGTTGTTATTTCATTTATCTGCACACATTCTTTCAAGAAAGAGCGCCAATTTAAATTACAATACAAGCCAAACTAATAGAAACAGAGGGTAAAAAAGAAGTAGTGAGCAAGTCATGTACTTTGAATTTCAGAGGAAAAAAATGTTATTTAGTGCACATCTAAACAAAGTCAAATGTTAAATTTCTCTGCAAGGGAAGCAGCTCTGCAATCTGCCAGATTGATAGTTGCTATTGGCAAACTAGAGATGAAGGTCTATGAAATCAAATTGAAATATTCATACAGAATTGAGTGATTCTTCAAATGAAGCATATAGTAAGATATTTTTGCAGATTTAAAAGCCAACTATTTTTTGTTAGTGCATAAATTATTTAAGCTATGCCCACCTTTTCCCAATGAAGCGTTTTTCAGAGTTACCTTTACAGCATCCCTATGATCATGTGATCAAAATTCAGATACTTGGCAACTGATTCATATTTATCACCATTGCAGCGCCCCAGGGTCATGTGATCCCTTTTTGCAACCTTCTGACAAGCAAAGTCAATGGGGAAGCCAGATTCACTTAAGAACCAGGTTACTAACTGATCAACTGCAGTGATTCACTTAACAATTGTGACAAGGAATGTCATAAAATGGGGCAAAACTCACTTAACACACACTTATTTACACTCAGAATATGCTGCATATTCAAAGGACTAAGAAGTTGGGTATCCAGTATATGGGATAAGCTCTGACAAACCATTACTTTAAATCACAATAGTATAGTATAGCCTTTATTGTCATTGTACATCATGTATACAACGAAATTGGTTAATCTCAGTAACTGTATAATGTTTATTTTCCTTTACATTATTGCACAGCAGTCTTCAAATATTTCATTCTTTTGGGAAATAGATATATTAACAAACTTGCAATTTATCTAGTTCTATCAGTGTGTGAAATCCACACATAAAAGAAACTATATATCAACATTCAAGTATATTATTTACAGTCAAATCCTAACCCAATATAAAATATTTAATGCAATAGTAACTAAAGTATCTATTACTGCAAAAATTCTTTTTCCTGTGGATATCCACTCATCTGCATCTGCTTCTTCTCCTCATAGTTTGCTTTAATCTGCAATGCAGAATTCACTGACCTCAAACCTTCAGCTTTGAGCATTGCAGAAAGCCAGAAGAACATGTCATAATATGCATTTCATCTTTGTGGTCTACACAGTAATCAATGACTTTGCATGAAATGTAATAAAAGCATGTGAATAACTTGTTAGAAAAACTACTTTTCTGATATGGATAAGAAATTAATAAACTGCTGCTCACCAAATTCACTACTGTGAATTTATAAAGCATCAATGTTATGATTATATGTGATACAATCACCTTATAGGGCTTAGATAAGGAAAACCCAATTGTGAATTATTTGAATTCTATTGACTTAAGTCTCTGTCATGTTTACAACAGAGATAGTCATACATTGATAACAATAAACAACCAGGTACTTAGGATACATTGTCTTTAACAAGAAAAAAAATAGAGTACACCATTGGACACCCCCATGAAATCTACAGCAGCAACTACAGGAAGTCCTTGACTTATGACCACCATTGAGCCAAAATTTCCATTGCTAAGCAAGACAGTTGAGTCATAAAATGGAGCATAAATCACTTTTCTTGCCACAGTTGTTAAGTGAATCACTGCAGTTGTTAAGTTAGTAACACAGTTGTTAAGTGAATTTGGCTTCCCCGCTGACTTTGCTTGTCAAAAGGTCACAAAAGGTAATCATATGACCCTGGGACACTGCAACCATCATAAATATGTGCCAGTTGCCAAGTGCCTGAATTTTGATCTCCCCAACCACAGGAATGTTGCAACAGTAATAAGTGTGAAAGATGGTCATAAGTCACTTTATTAAGAGCTGGTGTAACTTTGAATGATCACTAAACAAATGGTTGTAAGTCAAGGACTACCTGTATGGCTGCTTGATTTAAGGCTAAGAAAGAGCAGGTTGAATTGAAATTTAAGCAGAAGTAGTTATGTAAAGAAAGTAAAGTATGGTTTATCATAGTTAATCAGGATAACAACAGAGGGCTTTAATGCTAAAGACACTGTCCATTATCTATATACTACTAAATCCCTTGTGTCTGTAATCTTTAAGTGGGCAAAATGTTGAAGCAGAAGGGCAAATCTTTTCAACCAAAGTACCTCAAATGAGCTTACAGAATACTGGGACTCAGGGAATGAAATTTGGGAAAGTTGTGACTGCTTCACTTCTAATGGATTACTGCTTTTTCAGCGCTGCTGCCACTGCACTGTTGCAGTCGTGTGATCCTCATTTTCAATGTTCTCTGACAGCTTCCCAGTGACTCATGCAATCACTTGGTTCCTACTCCACCCAGCACTAGTCATTAATTGCCTCTGGGAAAGAAGGGAAGGAGGAAGGAGCACAAAGAAAGGGAGAAGAAGAAAAAGAAAGAAAAGGAAGAAAAGAAGGGGAAGGAAGAGAAATGGTAGTGAAGGTGGGAGATTTTGGATGATCACTGCCAGCTTCCCACAAGAAAATTCAATGGGGAAGCTGACAGCAGGTCAGAAGTTGCTCTTGCTCTGAATTTTTGCCCTCTGGTGGTCATTCTGTTTCTCTGCTTAAGTAAGGAAATCTGTCTGCAATGAGATTTCAGAGGTCACAGGATGTTTACTAGCATGTTAAAGATGACTTCCAACCATTCCAAATTGTTATGGAAAAAAGTGAGCAGACTCAGCTATAATATCAAAGCAGCAATAAGCAGAAAGAACAAGTTCTTCTTTCATTAGTGCTTCTAAAGCAGCTCAAATCATAAAGAATAGACAGAGATTATGGACAGGCTAGTAAAGGAAGTTCCACATACCAGAAAGACTGAAAATAAAATATATATATATATCTTACATATTTTGGCATGAAGAATGTGTGTATGTGTGTGTATAAAAAGTTTACCGTCAGATGTTCACCATCAGAGATTTGACTTTAAATATTTTATATCAGAATGTTGTTCCCTCAATAGTCCACGTCACCATAACACTTTACACCGAGTACTTAAGAATAGAATAGAATTCTTTATTGGCCAAGTGTGATTGGACACACAAGGAATTTCTTTGGTGTATATGCTCTCATATATATTAAGTTAAGAATATATTGTAAGTTACATTGTCTTATTGAAAAAAAAATGAAATGCCAATTCTTTCCACATGTGGTCTTTTATATTATAAAATAGGGACAGTATCATTAATTGTAAACTGCTTTAGGTTTTGTTGGCAATATGTTTCAATTACATAAAAAAGTAAATACTTGCTACTTACTGGACCAACTAAAAGAATGAGTTCAACTTTAGTCTAGATTTATGTGCAATACTGTATTTTTTAAAAAATCAGGTTACCTACAAGAATTAAATAATATAATTCAGAGAAAGCATGTTTATCTTTAATAAAGAATCTCATTCATCAAAGAATTTCTAAGTAAGTCGATGCTTTCATTTTGAACGCTACTTAAGGCTTAGTATAATCTGATAGTCAAACTAGAAGTGGAAGCTTGTGAGCATTAATACAATTCCATTCTTCCCAGACACCTGTTCCATATCAGTTGCTTCAGTGAAGCAAGATTCTACTTATCAGGACATGCAGCAAAACCTTTAAAATTTAGATCTCATCTTGTCTATATGGATACAACCATGGCAAGTGCAGTAATTTAAAACTTTTATACAGTCATCTTTGACAGATTCTTCCAACTCAATGACAAATGGGATCAAGGAGAAGAGTCTTCTCTACCAGGACCTGCACTCTCTAAAACATCTTGTCTCCTAAGGTAAGGTCTGCCTCTACCTTAAAAAAGCCTTAAAACTTGGCTCTGGTTGGCCTGGGGCCTCAAAGGAGGAATGATTATGCTGAAGGTGATTGATTGAGCATCCATACCATTGGATTTAATCTTTAATTGTTGTTAATCTTAATCTTGATTTTAATGTTTTTATATTTATGCTCTTATATTGTAAGCCACTCATAGTCACTTGGGAGAGTTAGGAAGCATATAAATTTTCATGAGAATTTGGTATTCTCCATTTGCTCTGCAAAATACAATCCAACCAACTTTCATTGTTTGTTTGTTTTTTCTACAGACAACTACTCAAATCTTAATAGCTGTCCTGAAATCACTATAGCCTAGAATTAAACCAAGGATTTTGTTTGTAGCACCAGCCATTATAAAAGGGCTTTGTCTTTCCTGATTGTAAATGGCTATATTCACCTACCACACATTAAAGACAATTAACTGTATCCTGTATGTATGAAATTGACTAGAATTTAATAAAGATGGTTGGTGGCTAAATAGGTTGCATGGATTAAAACATCTGAACAACCTTGATTGAATAAGCCATCACTCAATCCAATTTAAAAAACCAGATGTTTTATTTTAGATTTTCAGGTGCAAAAAGTATGTAGAAATTTACATGTAGAATATTCATTTTTATTGGAAAATTGTATGTTATGGACAATTAATCCATCTTTGCCTTCTTCTGACATATCAAGGCTACTGTTACATGACATTGAGTTACATACCAAACAACTACATTGTAGCTCGGCATGTTATGCTAACTATACATATATTCATATACTACAGCATATTGCAGAAATCTAGAAAATTAAGTTAGATAAACCACAGTTAAAATAACCATGAGTAAAGCATATTGTGGAAATGCAAGCTATTTTTATTTATTTGCAGCAAATTATTTTGGTATCGAAGTTGACTCAATCAGGGCAAATTTTCATATTGAAACTTGTGGTTCAAATCAGATATTACTTAACTCTCCCCATCTCCCAGATAGGCTGTATTAACATATTAAGATAAAAGTGTGTCTGTCTAATTTGTGGCTTAGTGCACTGTATGGACGGTGCTATGGTTAGTATATGGCTCAGTGCTTTGTAAATCCAGATTATTTGAATTAATATAGTTTAGTTAACCCTGGATTAATTTGCTGTATAACTATATCAATACATACATAATGGGAAAAAAGGGTATTAGATCAGAGAACCCACACAAGATCAATACATACATGACTATAACATTTTTTTAAATAAGTGTCTATTTCTGTACTGTTTTCTTCTGTGCCGTTCTTAAAACCCTAGAAGCTCTAATATCCTCCTTTACATCTGATCAGAAAAGGGAAAGTTGGCCATCTTTCAATTGAGATTTATACCAGTCCAGAATCTGAATTAAGAGACTCCTACTGATGACAAATATATTTCATTTGCTACATCCCCCTACTGGATTCCCAATTATGGTTAAGCTAAGAAGCAAAAAACTTTAATTGAATAGTTCCCTTCTAGAGTAATACTAGTTTGATTGCTAGAAGGAATCTGGCAAGTGTGTCTAATTGTGAAAAAGGCCAATTGGACAAAAGTAGGATGCTTTTAATATCCCCCTCTCTTCTTGTACCATACAGGTGAAGGAAGTTAGCACCCACCCCTCTCCTAGAAGAATGAAATATTTTAGGAAGTATTAAAAAGGCAGAATATTATGTTTCCCTGGATGAGAAAAGGAGAAACATGTTTTAAAGACAAAGTAGCTCTCTGTAGCTCCCTGCCCACCCACCCCCTTCAGCTCCAGGGTGGTAGGATTAAGACATGGCCCTCAGAACATGACAGGATTAGCTCTCTATCCATCTCACCACATGGCACCTGAGAAGATTACATCACCCAGCAAGGCTCAACCAAGCCTAGGACACAGACAGTCTACAAAGTTAGCTAAGACCCCACCCCCATGGGAGTCTGACAACCAATCAGAATACAAATACAAATACAAATACAAATCAAAGCTCAACAGAGGGTATAAATCTCTCTCTCTCTCTCACCCATGTGCCTTTTTTGCCCAGGACCTCAAACCATGTGGTCCTGTCCACCATTAAAAACCACCTTTCCAAACAGCCACGTTTCCAGTGTCTTTCTCCCCACTTGGAACTGAACCCAGATGGACATTTCTTCCAACACAGGAATTTCGACAGCAACTCAAAATGACAATATTCAAAAGCCAAATATATCATTTCCCAATCAAGATTCCCTCAACATTTCCATTTTTCAAAATAATGGCAATTGTATGGGATTGTTATCAGAGCAATAGGCACTTAAAAAAAAAACTTGGCTTTTCCTCCTTGGAATCTGTTATTAAACAAAAGGGGGAGGGGGGGTTAGGCCCAGAGGAATGCTATTAACCTAGTGCAATCATCTGGCCTTTTTCATCTTTTTCTATCAACAGTTGAAGTCACAAAGGAGGATTGCAAAGAAACAGCTAGCCTTGACCTTTCCTCCCCATCTGACAGCCTTTTCCCACAATATTTCCCAGAAGAAATATTTTTAAATATCTGAAGCTAAACTTCTTTGAGTTACTGGACTTTTATATTAGTCCACAGCTTGTTCAAAAAATATGAATCCAGAATCAAAGATACAATATCCTCATTTTTAAACAAATCCTCAACCTTTAACTAGTCTAAGTCATCAGTTTTAGGAGCACTGTGTTTTCACAAAGCCAAGAAGTACACTGAGCAAAACCAAAACAAAGTCACATAGTCACACTATCTTCAATTGCTCCAAAGGTTAAAAGACCAATTTAACACTGACCTTCAAGGAGTAGGACTGTGCACAACCTACAAAACAAAATAACCCCCCCCAATCAATAACAGTGGCAGAAGTCTCCAAATTGTAGTTTTGTTAAACAACAATTAAAATACCATAAAAGTAAATCACTTGTGGAAATACCATTTTTTCTGCCCTTCTCTGAACTCCTTGTCTTTGTCCCATTAAACTAGTACTCTCAGAATTCCTTGCCTTTCTCTCAAGTGAACTGAATAGTGAGCTGTAATCTATTAATCAACCTACAAGCTGCCTTGTATGCCAGTCTCAAATTCTACTTGTGCTATTTCCTCCTAAATGTGTTATTATGATCACCCTGTATATCTTTAGTCTGCATGGATGGTTATTTCATTTTTTAAAATTTCCTGAACACATAAGTCTGCTTAACAGCCTTTAATGGTCAAGTCTCAACAGTCATTAGAGCTGTTGCCCCAGTTCATACAAAGACACGTGCATCACCCCGTCTTACCCTTCATTGTGCACTGCTCTTTAGCCAAGCTGTGTAGTTTACTTTGGTGTAGTAGTCATATAAATTGGCATTGTTTTAGATTTCCTGAAATCGATTTGAATCCAGGATTTGTCATAAGTCTGAATTCTCCAGAACTCTTTGTTTGGGGTCTGAACAGCAAACTAACTAACCATCCTACCATGTCAAGAACATGTTATCAAGAACAGGAAGTCACATCACCCCTGGCCATCTTGTCTTAAAGCCTGCAAACCTACCTCAGTCAATTGTGCTTTATTCAGTCAAGTGTCACCTTACAAACAAGCGCCCAGTAACCCCGTCAATTCGTGCCAGTGGCTCTTTTAAGTAACCGGTAGATCACGAGTGAAAAACAATGGCGCGGCGGGGGGGGGAGGGAGAGAAACCCACCCGTCCCCGACCCGGTGATCTCTTCCTCCCAAGTAGTGCAGAACTAGCGGCGCTGTAGCAGTTAAGGTCCGGAAGGAAAAAAAAAACCGCTTTGCTGAGGGAGGGAAGAGCTCCATTATGTACCGTTAACGTTTCGCTGCCGCCGCCGCCGCCGCCGCCGCCTGAAGACCGGGACTAACCTGTGCCGGCCGGGAAAGGCGAGAACTGCGGATGGAAGCCGGTCGGGATGCGGCAAAAGCACCAGTTGGCCCTCGCTTCCTCCCTCGGGCAACCACCTTTCCCCCGCAGGGAGGAGGGCGGCTTTAAACGTCAGCGGCAGTCGCGAGGAGGAAAAAAAGGGGCGCGGCAGCTCAGTTGTTCAGTTGACGCCTCAGCTTCTACCCGGCCTAAACCAGTTACAGCCGCCCGGCTGAAACCGCCGTCGCCGGGCGGCGAGAAAGGAAAACAAGCGGCATCAAGCGGCACGTGAGGCGGGCGGCCAATGGGAGCGCGCGCGTGCGCGGCGGGCGGGGGGGAGGGAATTTGTGTGTTTGTATGTGCGTGGAAAGGCGGTGGGAGGGGCGGAGCGAGCAAGGGGAACGACAGGAAGGGCGACACCCTTCTTAGGAAAACGCGCGCGGGCGGTCTCGGGAAAGCGGGGTTGGGGGTGGGGCCTATCAAGGCCGCGTGGCTGAATAAGCAAAGATGAGAATGCGAGCTGCGCGAGCCTGTTCTTATTGTGGCGCCTACTATTGCTGGGCTAGTTGACGTTTATTATTAGACCATTTATAATAACACACAAGTATGCAAAACGACCTATAATAAACTCTTTGGTTGCTTGCAGTTTATTTTCTAAGGAACTGTAAGAAGTAATCGCCACCCTCTCCCCCAGGGCAGGTCATTTTAAAATGTATTCCTAGTTGACTTCTTGTTGGTATTACCCTGTTTCCGCCAAAATAAGACATCCCCTGATAGTAAGCCAAATCGTGCATGGCAATTCTGCCAAGCGCTTATTTCATATATTTCAAAAAAATATAAGACAGGGTCTTATTTTGGGGGGAACATGTTAGACGTGCTTTCGAATAGCACTTAAGTCATTGAGTGCATTTTATTTCCAGCGTCTTTCCCCCGACTTGGAAGTGGACTGGATTTTTCTTCCCACAATGATGACACAATGACGTGTCCATACCTGAGGCACATTGAGGCGAAACATCAATGTTTTGGAGATCGAAGCTGCAATTAACAAAATAACACAGCTGGAAGGGCCCTTGGACTGGAGGTCTTCTAATCCAGGGGTTCCCAACTCTCGGTCTGTGGACCGGCACCGGGCCGCAGCATGCCAGCAACCAGGCCATACAAACCACTGTAGCCTCATCCATGGGATGCAGGCAGCATGCAAAACCATGACCCCTCTAGTCCATGGAAAAACCTGGTTGGGGCCCACTGTTAAAGTCCAACCCTCTGCTCAACCCTCAGGAAGCCCTATACCCGTGATGGTGAACCTATGGCACGCGTGCCAGAGGTGGCACGCAGAGCCCTCTGTGGGTGCGCACGCTGTTGCCAGCTGCTCTTCTGCGTTCTGTCGCACGCATGCGCACTGGCCAGCTGCTCTTTTCCGGGTTCTGGCATGCACATGCTGGCGCACATGCGCCTGCCGGAATCCAGAAGAGAGCAGCTGGCTGGTGCGCATGTGCTGCTGGAACCCAGAAGAGCAGCTCGCCAGCTGCTCTCTTCCAGATTCCAGCACTCTGCCACGTTCGTGCACTCCAGTTTCGGCAGACACTGCCAAAAAG